GGTGGTGACGCAGGCCGGCTCCCGCCCCTGCCCGCCGGCCAAGGCCCTGGGGCGCCTCCCGGCCTGACCACTCGCCCCATAAATGTGGGCGCTCCTTGAATGCCGCTGAACCCCAGGTCATCGTCGGCCGCACCCCTCTTCGGGCTCCTGGGACGCGCGGTTTCGGGTGCACAGCCGGGTTCCTCGCTCCACCCCAGGCTTTGTGCCTCCGCCTGGGGGCGCCCGCGTGGGGTGCGGGAAGGGGAGCCTGAGTCAGCGGCCGCGGGTCCAGGAAAATAGGCCGTAGTCACCTGCCTGTTGTGGGGGTGCCTGAGCCAGTTGCCCAGGCAGGCGTTCTCCCGCGTCCCTTAACGGTGACCTCAGAGGGCATTTATGGAGGAGCGATTAACCAGCGCCAGGCCTGCCTTGTGCAACCAGTCACCACAAACCACGCGCTGTGTAACTTCGGTAGGGTATTGGCCTCTGGAGCCTGTTTCTCCCGTTGCCGTGGGGTGGAATGAGGCTCCAGAGGGCACGTTCTGGAGTCTATGGTGTGGGGCCCTCACCTAGACCCAGTGGTGTCATTCATTAATGCAAGGTCACAGGCTGGCGCCCAGGCTTTGGGGTGGGCATAACCCCCACACCCATTTTACAGGTGGTGGAAACTGAAGCTGAACAGGTAGGAACGTAACATGTCGTCCCCCTGCGGATTGCCCTGGGTAGGGAGGGAGCTTTCTAAGGATGAGCCTGGTTAGAAGTGGGGTCCTCTCGGTCCTCCTGTCCAGAAGACCCCAAGCTCTACTCATCACCCAGCGTCCACTTAACTGTTTTATCCCTCCACCTCCACCCCCACCCTTGCCCTGGGCACTCCTAGGGCTGTTCCTTTGCAGGTCTCCTTTCTGCTACCACCCAATCCTCCTGTCCCCCTACGCCCCCACAGGCACACCCAGGCACTCAGCCCTGCAGAGGCTGGGATTGAGGGATAGGAGTTTGCCATAAAGGATGGTGCTCCAAGAACTGGGAATAGCCAATGCAAGGCTCTGCAGGCTCAAGTGGCTTCAGGTTGTGGCTCTGCTTCCAGAGGGAGCATGGAGGTGGCAGAGGGAGCTGAGCTCTGAGGCCAGAGCACCTGAACGCTGGAGGGGCAGGGTTGGAAGTATTGCTGCTGGGGTGGGCAGGGATGTGACCTGAGGCCAGTCCCTGATGCTGCCGGGTCCTTTGGTTCACACATACTTGAGTGGGGGTTGTTCTCAGGAGGGGCCGTGACCCTAACCTTGCTCTGCAGGTAACAAGTTACTAAACCTACTAGTTGACTTACTTTCTGTTCCTTCCCGTTTAGAGCATCCCCTTGTTCATCAAGGCTGTCCCAGGGTGTGGTAAGGATGTACCAGGGGACCCCCTTCCTTCCCCCACCAGGCCCTAAGCCTGCCCTGTGGAAGACTTTGTGACCCCTTGTTCCTGGCACTGTGACCTACCTCAAGTCTTGGCCCACCTAGCATGGGCTGTTCCCTCCGGCCCATGTTGGGCAGGGGTGTCCATAAGGTTCACTTACATGTCTCCCACAGAGCCTTTGCTGTGCTGGAGGGTCTTGAATCCAGCTGTCCCCCAGTTACAGGCTGAGGCCTCTCAGGCACACGGTTCCTGGTTTGGAGGCTACTGGCCCAGCAGCTTGGCGATCTCCCTCCTCCCCCAACCTCCCCATCTTATTTAGAGCACCTGGGCTAGCCAGAAACTCTTTTAAGAGCTGAGCTATGAGCAGGGACTGGGAGGGGTGGGGCTGCACCTGTGACCTCATGGCTGTGACAGCCTTCTCTGGGATGGGGGTTCCTGGGAAGTGAGGGCCTGATGCTTGGGCCCCACCAGTCAGAGTAGGGAGACTCAGATATGACATCCCCCCCAGAGCCATGAGCTCACCTGGAGGTCCCCACACAAACATGTCCCACCATGTCGAACCTCAAACATAGGTATGGGACAGTCATTTGCATGAGATGGTGACGCACAAGTGCACAGCATATTCGTGCTGACACACCCTGGGGTGGTCTCCTTGTCACCTCCTGGCTGCCAGTGACACACATGGAGGCTCAGGCTCTCCTGCAGTCATACCCTGGGACTCTGCCAGCACTGCTCAGGCTCAGGGTGGGGAGGGGTCAAGGAGACCCCTGCCCTGAAATCCCCTTCCTACCTGCCACCTGGAGCTTGAGTCTGGGATAGTCCCAGGGTTGCAAAAGAGAGGTGGAGTAGCCATGAAGCTGTGCAGAGCCAGGGTTGCTCCCATCCAGATGCTTCACCCCATCTGGGGCAGGTCTAAGAGCCTAGGTGCCATGGAGGTGCCAGCACCACTGGAGATCAGGCACTAAGCCAGTCAGGGCCACCCACAGGCCAGGCTAGCTGAGGGTGGGGCCCGCCCCGCCCCGCCCCGCCCCTTCCCAGTGTGGCCAGGCCAGGGTCAGGGCCTGGGAGCCCACAGGGCAGATGTTACAGCCTGAAGCCTGACAGTTCTGTGCCTGGCCCAGGAGCCATAGCCACCCCTCCCCTGCTGTCTCCATGCCTGGCAGATTACCTTTGCCTCTCCCCATCCTCTTGGAGTGAAGGCGAGTACCCACCCACCATCCAGCCTAGCTCTGCTGTCTGTACACCCCCACTTCTCAGTTTACTGCAGGACCCCAGGGATCTCTTAAGCAACAACCTCCAAGGCCCCAAGGCCCTACCTCACAGGGAGGACAGTATCCCAAACCTACCACCCTAGGCAGGAGACAAAAATCAGTGCACACAAGTGGGGTCCCTGGTCTTTAATGAGGTGTGGGCTGGGGGCAGGCTGTGCAGAGGCGGCGGCTGGGAACAGGTCTCTGCTGCAGGGTCTGCAGGGATAGGAGTGGTGGGGCAGCAGGTCAGGTGGTGGGATCTTGGGAAACAGAAGGCGAGCCCCCGCGGTGACAATGCCCCCAAGGGCAGAACAGGGTCTCTGAGCCCTAGCCCCAGCCACCAGGCCTGGACCTAGTAGGTGTGCTCTGGGCAGAAGCTGGCACTGTGCTGTGCCTAGCAGCCTCCTTGGCAAGGATGGCTGCCCCCAGGAGGGTTGCTCCACCCCCAGTTATATTGGACCCACAGTCCATCCAGCTCTGGGCCTGTTTCCCTGTGGACGCAGGCAAGGGGCACGCACCGCCTACTCCAGAGCCTTCACCAGGGCCTCACTGGCCTCCATACGGATTTGGATCTCAGCCCTCGCAACCTCGTCCGCTGCCCCCGACAGCTCCGACTGTGCCTTCTCCAAGTTTGCCTTAGCCGCCTGCAGCGGGTGGGTGGTGGGTGAGGGCCAAGCAGGGTCCCCAGTCTGCCCCTCCACCCTGAAGCAGGAGCTCTCAAAACAGCTCGTGTCTGCTCGGTGCCTGAGTTTCCCGACACTCACCCCCAAGTCCAGCATGTCCAGTGTCACAGCCTCTTCCGCCAGTAACTGCACTGATGAATCAGCGTTCACTGTGACCGAGCCACTGCTCACTGCGGGAGGAGGGGAATGAAAACGCCAAACCTAGGCTTGAGGAAAACCGTTAACTCCAGAGCCAGTACAGCAGCCCCATGGGGGCCCTGGGGTTCAGCATGGGGGATGCACACCTGTAGAGGACACAGGGACACAGCCCCTTCCCTTCACCCACCAGCCCAATGGCTGAGCCAGTGTGAGGGGTGAGCAGGGACTAGGTTCAAATCCCAGCTGCAGCATTGGAGATGGATACTGGTAGAAAGAAAGCCTGTGTAGAGCTGGTTTCTTCCTACACAAATGTGTGGACCCCCTCCCTGGTAGGTTTTACTTCCCTTCCCAGCATGTCACCCTCCCCGACCCACTACATGCCAATTAACCACAGCCAGTCCTGAACTAGGGGGCGCACAGTGCTCCTGGTTTGCTTTTCATTGTGTGCTCAGGGCAGCCCTGCCCAGCCCTGACTCTCTGCCTTCCTACTCAACTCACCAAAGTATTTGGAGGTGGTGCCATCCTCAGCGTGGACAACAACCAAACCTGGCCGCAGGACCTGCAGGGTGGGCACGTGGGCAGCCAGGATACCAAAGGCTCCGGTCTGCGTGGGCACATCCACCTGCCGGACGTTGGCACCATTGAAGAATACCTGGAGAAAACACAAGGGGAATGGGTCACTGAAGGCCACTCCCACACCATGCCATTTGGAACTCTCTCTCTCCTGCAGTAAGTGACCAAGGCAGGACTGGGTGCTGATGGGGGACCCAGAAGCAAACGCACTGGGGCAGACGCTTGCATTTTTGTCCTCAGACAAGGCCTCAGTACCGTCATCGGTGAGAACAAATCCAGCTATCCAAGCCCTTGGGCAAGCAGATGCTGTAAGGGCACAAGAAGGTGCCTGCCCGCGAGAGGCACTTAGGAGGCGCTTTTCTCGGAGAGCTGCCTGCAGCGAGGGGCATTGCCAACTCGAGAAGCAGGTACGGCCCTTGGGAGTCTGAATTCACGTGAAAGGCCCAAGAGTTCGGGAGGTTGGGGGGCCTCAGACCCGGACCACACGAAAGAAGAGCATGGGTCTGGACTCCGGAATGGGTGTCAGAGACCTGGGTGCTGAGGGATTCGGATCCCGGGTCCGGAATGGAAGTTGAAGGACTCGGACCCAGACCACACCGGGAAGGGGCGCGAGTCCGGGGTCCGGAATAGCGTTCTCACCTGCGTGGGTGAGGCGAAGGTAAAGGACATTTGTCCCGGGCCCGCGGCGGGGGCCGGGGCGGCGGCGGCCTCGGCGTAGGCGCGGACCTGGCGCACGAGGCGACTCAGGCCAGGGCGGCGGAGCAGCGAAGAGGACAGCATGGCGGCGACGGGTGAACTGCGATAGTGGAAACCCAGCCAAACGCAGGTTGCCTGGAGGGCGAGAAGGGCAACGCGCGGGGACGTCTGGGAGAAGGATTCCAAGCGAGGGCGCACGCGCGAACTACGACTACCGGCGGGCCGCGCGCGACGTTGATGACGTCGCGCCGCTGGGCGCGCGGCATGCTGAAAGTTGTAGTTTCTTTCTGGCCCAGGTTCCAGTCCTCTGGTCGTGTCGGGAAGCGCGGTCGGTTAGACGATTCGTCTTGGGAGGACGTTTATTGGATGCCAGGCACTGGAGAGACATCGGAGAAATACCGAGATTCCTCTTCTGTTGTGGGGTGGTGGGGGCGTTTTACAAACAACGTAATAAGTCATGTAGTATGTTGAGACGTGATTAATACTAAAAAGAGAGAGAGAGAAGCAGCGGCAGAGTATGGGGGACGGGATGGGGCAGGTTGTAATTGAGGCGGTGCAGGCGTCTCGGGAACAGCATCCCAGGCAGAGGGTCCAGCGCGGACAAACGCCCGGTGGTGCGGGCCTGGTTCAGTTGCAATCCCCGCGACGGCCGCCAGAGGGCGACCTGCGCCCGGAGATGCTCTCATCCCGGCCACCGCCCACGCGCGCTGCTGTCGCAAGGGTGCGTGCGATGGCGGCCCCGGGCTCCGCTAACGTCACCGCGGCCCGCGCAGCCTCGCTGGCGGCGCTGATGTCATCTCCCCGCCCCCACATTGTTGCGCACAGGTCGGAATCCGGCCCCTAGGCCCCCACCTTGGACACCGGGAAAATGCAGAGTCCGGGTCAGACGGGAAGGACCTTGTTCGAGGAGCGGACGGGTGGGGGGCGCAAGAGAGGGTGTGTCATATCTGGGCCTGGTACTGGGCATGTATGTGGTATGCGACACAGTTGCTGTGGGGGCTCCTCAGTCCCAGAGGTGCGAGCCCCAGCTCCCTGCAGGGGTCCAGGCAGGAGCTGTGCCCGCGCCCCCGCCTCTCAGCATCCAGGTCTAAGGCGCTCCCTCCAGGCTGACTGTGAGGGACACTCAGGGTATCCGTCCCAGTGCCCTGGGCATCCTGTCTCTGGTTGGTGTGTGCCTCAGAGGTAAGCCCTACTTATGTGTCTAGGGTGTGTCCTGTGCGCAGCTCGACCTATCTCACAGCCCCGGAACCCATATGGCGTCCTAATTTTTCAGTTCCTCACACCCATCCATTGGACTTCTCTCCAATTCCCACTCCAGGGTGGCATACAGGTAAAGGGCACCACCTGTTTGGTACTCAGGTCCCAAACCTGTGGTTATCCTGGAATTCTCTGGTGGATCCACTGACAAGGCCTGTCCACCCAGCTTGGCCACTGTGGCCACCATCACTCTTGTATGGCCCCAGGCTTCACCAAGGGAGCCTCCACACACACAGCCAGAGGGACCATGCCATTCCAATACCGGGAACCAAAAATGGTTTCTCCTGCTCTGTCCAATACGTTGATCTGCAAACATGCCTTTCTATCTCAGGGCCTTTGCACATGCCATTCCTACTTGCTTGGAGCCAACATTTCCTGGGTATTTATCCACAGGGCTGCCCCTTGCTCTCCTTTAGTGGTGTCAGCCTTTCATCCACTGGACAAGCTCTTTCCTCCAGGGTGTCAGCCCCCTTTGCTATGCCTGGAGACCCAGCTGTGAATGAGCTGCTGCTCTTGGAGCCCACCGTGTAGTGAGGTCAGAGGTGAGCAAGGACACAACACACAGAAGCATGTAAAGGAGTGGGCCACAGAGAGAAACAAAACGCTGCAGGGCACAGGAATGGGGGTTGGTTTTTGCCATGTTAGCAGAGGTAGCCAAGAGGAGCTGCAAGGAGGCTTTGGCATTTGGGAAGGGTTGGAGGGGGCAAAGGAGGGACTCTTTGTGCTGAGCAGGAAAAGAGCAGTCCTGGCCAGGTACCTGCAAGTGCAAAGGCCAACAGGTTGAACTGAGTTTTGGGCATCACTGAGCAGCGTGGGCTTTCCCTGGAGGGCTGCCACTGTGGGTAGCTGGGATGAGACCAGGATTAGGCTGGTAGCCCCCTCTAGAAAGACGAGGTAAGAGTTGGATAAAGAGAAGGGGTAGCAGCTTTGGGGTTGGCCAGGCGTAGGGGTTCTTCAGGGTAGTCCTGATGTCACCAGCACTTGGCAGGCTCTGGTGGCATTCAGCACAGATTGTATTCTATTCTTTGCTCATCCGAACAAGGCAGGGCGCACGATAAGCCCTGACAGTGCCGCCCACATATGGGAAGAAATGGGGTATATGTGGCCGACTCCTTGGGTTGTGCACCCTGGAGAACCCCAGATTGGGGGAAGCGAAGGAAGGGCACTCTATGCACCCCAGAGCCCCAGGTTGGAGGGAGTCATGCATCCCAGAAAGTACCCGCTTTGGGACCTCGGGAAGGGTCGGGGAGTCTCGCTGCAGGGGATGGGGGCGGAGATTAGCCGTCGCGGGAGAGGGCGGCTCCGCATGAGGAGGGGGAGCCCGGGAGCGCAGGCTCCGCCTCCCGACCCCGCCGGAAGGGAAGGGGAGGCTGTGGCCAGCGCGGACCGAGCCAGACGCGGCGACGAGCGCGGCGGGGGTGGGCGGCCGGGGACCTGGCAGCATCCAGCGGGTGGGAGCGGGCTCGCAGCCAATGCGGTCACGTGTGCGTCCCCTCCTCACGCGCCTGCCTCCCCCGCGCGCCGGGCTCTCCATTCATAAATTCTCCTGCTCGGCGGCCACCGGACGCCGGAGCCAGCCGGGAGCGCCGCGCATCCGCCCGCCCGCCGCCCATGGGCCGCGCGTCCCGGCGCTGAGGTAGGCGCGGCGGGCCCGGGGCCGAACCGGGGCGGGCGGGGGCATGCTGGGGCCGCGCAGCCCAAAATCATGGCCGGCTGCGGGGCCCGCCCTGGTTCGGGACCACCGTCCCTTCCCGGCGAGGCCCGAGGGAGGGAGCAGAGGAGTCGGGGCGGGCGTGGGGGCCAACTTGCGGGGCTCTGCAGCCCGAAGAGGGACACCCGCCTCCTGCCTCAGCCCGAGATTGAGATACGCCTGGAGTCCGGCTTTCTGCCTCTCCTCGCTCTCCATCCCGCCCCCAGGCCCTAATGGGAGCGCAGGATTGGGCGCGGTGGCCAACGATCTCGGGGAGCCGAGGCCCGTCTGGACCTCAGGGGCTGGCTCGTGGGGAACTCCCGCACTCGGTTCCCGTCCCCGCCTACCCGCGAGCGTCCACCTCTCTTCCCTCTCCGCCTCCTGCCGTCTTTACTGGTCTACTGTCATGTCCAAGCGCCTCTGTCCCCTCCTCCAGCCTGAACTCATTTCCCGAACTACATGTAGGCGCCCTCCCCGCGAGGATACCGGGGACCCACGGCCAGCTTTTGACCCCGAGCGCCAGTACCCTCCCCTTCTCTGGGCCTCAGTTTCCTCTGCTATCGCGTGGGGTCAAAACCCGAGAGAATTGGGGATGCTGGAGCCTGTGCACGGCTTTCCCTTTCCTCTGGGGAAAGACGGCGCGCGCTGAGCCGACTCCGGGCTGCTGGTCATCCCGGTCCCAGACTGCTCCCTGAGGTTCCAGAGTGAGCCCCCGTCCTACCTGCTGGGAGGATGGTCAGGTGCAATGTCCAGGCAGGCCCTTACCCGATTGCCGGGCCCCTCCCCGGCCTTAGTTTTCCCCCATTGTAAGGCAAGCCGGCCCGAGCTGTAAGAAGCTGCTGGCAGAGGTGTGCGGCCCCGGGCTGGGCACCGTCGCGCCGTGAGGAGCGCAGCCGCCATCTTGCCGCCCAGAGCCCGTTCGAGCCTCCCCTGCAGGAGGCCTCCCTCCCCTCTTCGCTTCTGCCCACCCCCCAAGTGCTCCCTGGCAACCCTCCCCACCCCTCACTCCCCCAGTTCGGCCTGCTCACTCAGTCACCATGGGAACCAGACTTTTCAGGGCTGGGAACAGATGCGCCTTCTTTGGCCTTTTCCACTAGCGTTTGGTGGACAGGGGTGGGCTTGACCTCAGAGACTCTGGAGTCCCAGTGTTCAGCTCCTCCGCCCTGTTCTCCGGGTGGACCGCCCCATCTACCCGGTCCCTGGTAGCCTAGAGCAAGTCTCCTGGGGCTTAGGCAGCCCCTTCCTCTCCACTGATTGGGCCCACAAGGCCCTGTGGTCTCACGGGCATGAGCTGACAGCCTCAGTTTCCCCATTCCTCTCGGGGTGCTTCTCCTTTCCAGAGCAGGGCACCCAAGGGCCCAGCGCTACCTTGCCTGTCAGGCCCCACCGGCTGGGGAGGCTGTTGATGTGCACACACCTCCATCTAAAAGATGGAGAGATGGAGGTCCCCTCTGGGCGCTGATCTGGGGGGGGGGTTGTTTCTGTGAGTCACTGCTCCTGTGTGGGCTCTCTCTGTGACTCCTGGGGATGTGGGAGGGGGCAGGGACTATTGGGGAGCTGGTGCTGAGCAAGCCCCGCCCCCCCAGGTCCCTCCTCCTCGCCTCAAAATGCAGCCCACGGCCACCATGGCCACTGCTGCCACCACCACCGCCACGGTCACCCTGAACACAACGTGGGACAACACCACAGGCCACCCAACTGTGAGTTTTGGGGTTGGGGAGGTAGGACCGGCGGGTCAGGGCCACTAGAGTCCATGGCAGGACCTGACCCCTGCTGCCCCCCAGGTGGAGCCCGACCCCATCTTGGACAACTATGTGTTGGTGGTTGTGGTGATGTCACTCTTCGTGGGGGGCACGCTCGTGGTGCTGTCTGGCGTACTGCTCCTGTGCAGGCGCTGTTGGGAGGTCCACCGGCGCCTCAACAGGTGCGTGCCCACTGCCCCGTTGCCTTCCCCAGAGCCCTCAGTGTGCCTGCAAGGAACACGTGTACCACGGGTGTGTAGGGACAGTGGCGTTCGGGGTGATGGGTGCATGACCAGGTTCCAGCAGGTAGGCTCCTGTGAGCTTGGGACACCGCCCATGGGCACAAGCCCTGAAGGTCCCTGGCTCATCTTACTCTCCTGCTGTCCCACCCCAGAGACACAGAGGAGGCAGAGAAGACCACCACCACCTACCTGGAAAATGGCACCCACCCTGCCCAAGGTGAGGTGCTGCCCGGGCCCTGCCCTCCACCCGGGCCCCGCCCCGTCCACCCCTGGGCCGCCTGACCGGCTGTGTCTGTCTGTCTCCCCCACCAGACTGGGCGCAGCTCGATTCCGACTCATCTCTGTTTCCTTAAAGCCCACGCGTAGGTGCTCACAGGCGCATGCTGAGCGAGTGAGTGTGTGAGCGGATGAGCGAGTGCCCGCCTACCTCCCTGTGGTCCCTGGCGGTCAGTCGGGGCCCCCCCCTTGCTCCTTCCCCTGCTGTCATCCTGCCCACAACCTGCTGGCACCAGGCTCGGCCCACCCGGGGCCCACCCTCTCTTGGCTCTCCTCGCAGACCCCGAATTGAGGGGGGAGGACCCCGAGGGCCAGGACGCCGAGACCGAGCGCTTCCTGTCCACCAGCTCCACTGGCCGCAGAGTGTCCTTCAATGAGGCAGCCCTGTTTGAGCAGAGCCGGAAGGCGCAGGACAAGGGCCGCCGGTAAGGGGACCCCTGAGAGGTATCGTCACTGGTCTCACCGGGTGGGGCTGTACCTCTGCCAAGTGCCTGCTCGTGCCCTGCTACCCCTAGACCTGGTAGGGTGGATGATCAGGCCACAGGGCAGCTGAGAGTGTGGACTGGGGCCCAGCATTGGGCCTGGCTGCGTGGTGACAGGTGAGCATGATGGGAACAGGTACACCCTGACCGAGGGGGACTTCCACCACCTGAAGAATGCCCGTCTCACCCACCTACACCTGCCACCCCTCAAGATTGTCACAATCCATGAGTGTGACTCAGGCGAGGCCAGCGCAACCACCATGCCTCACCCCACTGCCACCCCCAAGGCCAGCCTTGCCATATTCCAGGTGAGTGTGAAGGGGCTGGCAGCCAGATCGAGGCTGGGTAGGCGGGACCCCCACCCTCATTCTCACCCAGCAGGTGGCATCTTTCCTGCTACCTGGGGCCTGGCCCCACATCTCAGGACTGGGAGGGCGGCTAGCTGGGGTGCACAGAGGGTGGCTGGGCCCAGCATACCCCCACCCATCCACCCACCCATGCTCTTTGACCTGTCACTGCTTCCTCCCCCACCCTGGCTCTGTCCCACAGCCCCCGGGGAAGGCCCTCACTGGCCACTCCGTGGGCCCCAGCTCCGCCCTGCCAGGTGACCCTTACCACCCAGCCACAGGTCCTGCTGACTTTGAGATCAGCCCCTCCACATCCAGCGACTCTGGGGAAGGCACCTCGGTAAGGACCCCATGTGTCCCCTGCTCCTTCCTGTCCTGCTCCAGGACAGTTCAGCCCGTGGCTTGCCCTCCAAGTCTCTCCTTGCCCTAGCCTGGTCCCCACAGCACACGGGACACATTCAGCCATGTCACACACGTGTTCTCACACATGCACAGGGTACTCGAGTAGCAGGACTGGGTGTGGTCAGGACCTAGCCCAAGCCCTGGGATGACCGTTCCTGGACACTCACCATTGGACCTCTGTCCAGGGCTGCGGAGGGCAGAGCTGGCCATCACCTGGCTGAGCTCTTGGGAGCCACTAGGGCATGGTCTGGGGGGAAGAGAGAGCTCCTTGCTACCCCTCTGCACTTGGCCTGAGCAATGGGGTGAGGGGACGTGTCGGGAAGAGGCTTTACTGCCTGCGAGCATCTCTCTTCTCTCCAGCTGGATGCAGGTGCCAGGAGCGCCAAGCCTCCTGGGCTGGGGGCTGCGGCGGGGCCTGGGGAGGCAGACCCAGGCCCTGGGGTGGGCCCAGTCCTTCAGTTCTTCACCCGCCTGAGGCGCCATGCCAGCCTGGATGGGGCCAGTCCTTACTTCAAGGTCAAGAAATGGAAGCTGGAGCCCAACCAGCGGGCATCCAGTCTAGACACGAGAGGTGAGCTGTGGCCTCTGGGGGGAGTGAGCGCCAGGGACCCCGCTCTAGGCAGCCATAGAGTGAGAGGCCTGGAACCTGCGGGGGGAGGGGGTTCTGCTCCTGAAGGGTTCCCGGTGCCTGCCCCAAAGTCTCAGCTGGTCAGGCAAGGGGCCCAGGGCCATTCACCGAGCTTCTCCTATGAGGCCCCAGACAGTAGTGTTTTTGGCTTTGCAGTCAGACCATCTGTATGCAGTGTGCAGTGGTGATGGGCAAGCAGTCACTATAGCGTGGGCACAAGTGTGGCTATGTACCAATAAAACTTTATTTACAACAGATGGGGGGCCATTTGGCCACTCCTGAATGAATGACAGCAGCCCTTCAACCCTGCAGACCTCTGGGCATATATGGGGCCCCTTTCTCTCAGCCCAAGGCAGGGACATGCAGGGGTATGGGGAAGTGGCCGCTCTGACAGAGGCACCAACAACTGTAACCAGCCCTGTTCAAGGGAGCTCAGCGGGCAAGGCCAGGCCACACATGTGCCAGCTGTCCTGTGGAGGAGGTGGCAGGGCCCAGTGCCAGGAGAGGTGGGGAGAGGGGACAAGAAGTGTCAAGAGAGAGAGGGAAGGTTCATGGCCCTTGTTAGGGCCTGGTTTCAGCCAGTACCAGAGATGGGGTGAATTCTGGCCTAGGTGCTCCTGGCCAAGGAGGGGAGGGCCTGTTCCTCTGCCCTGTCAGGAGCCGAGAGGCAGCCGTGATTCCTGAAGGTGATTGTAGTCAGTGCAGGTGTGGAAGCACCCAGAACCTGTTTGCTGGGTGACTGTCCTCCCCACCCCTGAGGCCTTCTCACTGATGACTCTCCTAGGCCTCGGTCGTAGGAGAGTCCTGGCCCCTATCCAGGGGCCCACAGGCAGGGGTGGGAATGGCAGCAGAGAAGGCTTCACCTCTCTCCCCCGGCCCCGCTCCCTGCTTTAGTAGTTGTGCTTGCCACCAGGTGTCCAATGTAAGCTCTTGCCCCAGCCACCCCCTTCTGCCAGGGATGCTCAGGGCACTGCTACCACCTTGGCACAATTCACACCTGCACAATAGTGCACACTCACCTGGCCCAGGCTGGTGCTCTTGGGCCTGGAGGTGGGGGTGGGGCTCAGGGCTGGGAGGGGCCTGGGCAGGCTGATGTGCCTTCCTCTGCACAGGCTCCCCCAAGCGGCACCACTTCCAGAGGCAGCGGGCAGCCAGTGAGAGCATGGAGCAGGAGGGGGACACCCCCCACGTGGACTTCATCCAGTACATTGCCAGCGCAGGCGCCACCATGGCCTTCCCGCCCCCTCACCCCTTTGTGGCCAGTCCCACAAGCCCGCCCCCCACTCTCGGCAGGTATTTTTCAGTAGATAGAGGTGCTAGGGGTGGGCCTGTGGGTCCCTGCCCCACCCCGTTCCCCCTAGGTGGCCCAGGGAGCACTCTCCCTGCCCTGTGGACAGGAGGTAGTTTCCCTCAGTTACCACCACCCCTCCTGGAGACTGCCTCGCTGGGGCCACCTCTCCAGTATGGACCGGAGGAGGGGAGCAGGGGGAAACTAGGTAAGGGGCTAGTGGAGGGTGGGGTCCTGGACGATGCCCCCGGGGCACCCAGGATTGGACACCTACTCAAGCAGGGCTGCTGGGGGTCCATGCCCACACAGGTAGTGCCATTTCTCGGTGGAGTCCATAGCCTGAGGGACCCTCTCCCCCCTGCCCATGCCTCTGAGGGCTGGACGGCCTCTTCTCAGAAACTGTCGACCATTTCTGGGAGCAGGACACCTCCCCCACCCCAAGGGTAGCTATCCTAAAGCTCTGGGCCCATAGCAATGGGATGGGGAATCCAGTAGAGGGCAAGGTTCCTACTTTTGGGCACTTCCCAGTCTGGGTGGTGACCTTCTTCTGATTGTGTGTCATCCTCCTGGTTCCTTATCAATCCAAGGTGGTAGATGACACATTCAGTCACGCAGGGGTAGGGGCCCAGTTGAACCCTACCTGGCTAGTACCCCCCTGCCGCCCCCTCACACAGTAAGATGTTAGGAAGAAGGTAGCGCAGAGGAAAGTATCACTCTTTCTGGGTGAGGAGCCAGCCAGGGCCCATGCCCACAGGTGCTTGAGTCACTACTATGAAACATCCTGGGTGAAAAGCAGGTTACAGGAGAGCTCAGGGCTTACCCCAAAAGCAAACAAGACAGGTAGCATTTTTTAAAATGCTCCTTCTGCAGGACCTGGCCAAGCCCAGAGGGTCCCGATCAGTGCCCATCCTCCCCGACCCAGCAGGGTGGCCAAGGAGGGGATGTGGAGTGTGTGCAGCCTTCTGACCGCTGTGGCCTGGCTTGCAGGCTAGAGGCAGAGGAGGCTGCAGGCCCAGCAGGAGGAGCGAGTCCCGAGTCCCCACCAGAGAATGGTGGCGGCAGTGGCTGGGGGCCTCAGCAGCAGCAGGAGTCAGATGGTGAGCGGGATGCAGGTTCTGAGCAGGTCCAGACAATCTATCATGACATCTGGAGCCTGCGTGCTTCCCTCGAGCTGCACGCGGCCACTGCCTCAGACCAGAGCAGCAACGATCGTGACTCGGTACGCAGTGGTGACAGCTCGGGTTCCGGGGGCACCGCACCAGCTTTCCCACCTCTCTCACCACCACCCACACCACGGTCCATGGATGGTGAGGCGGGCGGGTCACGCAAGCTACTACAGATGGACAGTGGCTATGCCAGCATCGAGGGGCGCAGCGCAGGCGAAGATGGGCCTCCCAGCCTACCCGAGAAGCGCTCCTCCTTCACTAGCGCGGGCCACATGGCCACCATGGGGGTCAGTTTTGAGGGGGCCCCAGCTGAAGCACCCACCCGACCTTGCGGCCCACACGTCTGGCCCCGCCATGCCCCTCGCCGAGACTACAGCGTGGATGAGAAGACGGATGCGCTCTTTCATGAATTCCTGCGCCACGATCCGCACTTTGACAACGCCCCACCCATCACTGCACGCCATCGCACGCGTGCACACCCGCATCCCCACGTGCGCAAGCAGTGGCAGCAGCGGGGCCGGCAGCACAGCGATCCCGGGGCACATGCTGCACCCCCTGCCCCACCTGGGGCTGACCCATGCCCCATGCGTGCGCCCCTGCGCCGTGGTGACAGTGTTGACTGCACATCCGACACCCACACAGGTGATGACCTGGCTGTCCCTGCGGCGCCTGCCATCCCTGCCATCGAGGAGGAGCCCTGCAGTGGCTGCCCTGGCTCAAGCCTATGCATTGGGCCCCCTGGACAGATGCTGGACAAGCTGGCAGCCGGCCTGGAGGACAGACTCTTCCCACCACATCTAGTCCAGTCTGTTTCTGTGGTCCCCATGCTGGCAGCCGCTGCCGCACCCACATCCCCAGACCACAGCCCGGCCTAGGCCCCATGCCCTGCTCTCCAGTTCCTTCAGCACGTGTGGGGCCTCCACAGCCAGAAAGACCAGGGGCGCAACATCTGGACACACCTGCACTGGGACCACAGGGCCTCACATGCAAACACACCGCCCTGACACCTCATGCCTCCCTCCCCTGGTACACAGGTGCATAGTCCCTTTCCAGGCACTTCGCTGGGTTGGCAGGGAATCAGGAGGCTCAAGGAGCCTGGCTCATCTGGAGGGAGCAAGGCTATTCTCATCTTCAGGCTCCCCAGGACCATGTTCACTTGCCCTTACCTCAAACAGTGGCCTCTGGGTGGTGGCAGCGCTTCTGTTAGTGGGAGGCACATACCAAGGCCTACACTCTGGAGGGACAATGCAGGCCAACTGTGTGAGGCAAATGCGCAGAGTGCCCCTTCCGGGGCCAACTGAGCCTCAAGCTACATGTGGTCTTCCCCAGCTGGAGTCCATGCCAGGGTGCATGCACTGAGCCCGCTGGGGCAAGATGGAGAAGTGCTGAATGTTGGTGACTAGTGCACTTGTCGCAGCCACCAATATTCCCGAAGCCGTTTACCTCACCGTGGTGTGTTCTCGGCAGTCTGAACCCCCTCCAAGCAATAACCACACCCACTGCTGCCACCTCCACTGCCCTAGCCCTGGACTCCAGGCTCCTCCCTGTGTCTGTGCCCACCCTCCGCATGTGAGTGGGTCACCTGCCCCACAGCTGCACAGTCCAAAGAGTGGCCAGGACTCATCAGTGTTTGAGACTTACACAAAACCCAAATGGCCAAGGTTTCAAGTTTCCTAAACTATTTATTGCCAAAAGATGGGGCAGCTGCATCACCCTGCCCCACCCTGCCAAGCTTTGAGCTATGTACAATCCAGTGATGGAGTTTCTTGTGTTTTGTTTTCTGGTTGATTATAAGTATTTACTGCACACTCTTGCTTACTCTGGGTTTTCTCGGGGGACTCAAGCACACAGAGGCCTTGGGGGAAAGGGCCAGGGTCCCACTGTCAGGCCCCAGCCCCTACACTGTGGAACAGTAGGCCCTGGGGCTGAGCAGAGGCTTTGGAGAGGCGGTGTCACCACTGGGAGAACACCAAGGGCCAGTGTGGCCAAAGGCAGACCCACCACGGAGGCCCAGGCATCCCAAGGCACCATCACCAAGACTGACAGACCACACCCAGTCCCCGCACGTTGGAGTCCGTGGACAGGCCCTGGCACAGACTCAGATGCCTCACCTAACAGCACATCCTGCCACCCAACAATTCCCAAACACCCCTCACAATCACAGCTCAAATCCACCTGTTTTATTTTTTCTTTAAAAAAAAAAAGGAAAAGGAACCAACCAAACAAAAACAAGGCAGCCACCTGGCTCCCACGGGCGCTGGGCATGCATCTCTGTGCAGGCCTGTCCATCCCGGCACAGCTGAGGTTTGTTTGAACTCATCACTAGGTGTGGGAGGCGCTAACATGTAGCAAAGTAGAGAAGTCAGGGCAAGAACCAGTAGTCAAAACGTAAAGTGCATGGCGAGGGCTGTGCGGGGCCCATGCCCAGCCTCACCCTCCTCCCTTGGCCGGGGAGAGGGGCTCAGCACAGGATTGCAAAGTCAACAGGAGGTCGTATCCACTGCCCACAATGAGCGTGGGGAGGCTAGATCCCAGTCCCTGCTGTCCCCAGCCACAGCCTTCCAGGACCTCCCACTTCCCAAGGGGTGGTCGGCACGGAGGGTGTGGCAGCAGCCTTCCTGGGCAGCCGACGATGGGCCAGTAGGTGGTGGGAAGTCTGAGGAGGACCTGGGCCATTGAACCTGGACCGTGGCACCTGCCCGAGGCTCCTGGAGATGGGCTGCAGATGGGACAGGTGTGTCAGTCCTAGGCCAGTAAATGCTCTGCATCCTGCGAGGCAGGCCCCACCCTGGGGCCCACTGGTACAGCCAAGAAAACAGGCCTGGTCTCATGGGGCTGTCAGAAGTTTTGAGAGGCCAGGAAGTCTACGCTGAGAGTTGCACACTGCCCAGCAGGATTAAGCATGACCCTCAGTGGGGCTCCAGCTGGGCAGGGGACCTGCTAACCCAGGCCCACAGCCGACTGCCCACATCCTGAGCAGGAGATGGGGTCTCCAGCTCCTCTGGAGCCTGATTCCCACTTTCTGGACTAGGGCAGACAGGGGTGGGAAGGGGAAGCAGGGAGAGGACCAAACAACAGCCAGGATGATAGCCTCAGCCAGACCCCAGCCCCTCCCAGCCCCCAGCCACACAGCCGTCTCCAAGTCGAGCAATCCCTCCAGGTAGCAGCCTGCATCTCAGGCAGGGTGAGCCCTCAGGTCCTCCTCCTGCACACAGGCCCCACCCTACCTCCCGAGTAGCCAGTGTCCTGCAGGAAGTGACCTTCTTGGCCCTCGACCCTAAGCCTAATGGCGGTGATCGCAGATGACAGGACTTCGAAGGGCAGAAATGGCTGTGGTCAGCAGTGGCCATGACAATGGCTTGGCCAAGCACGGGTAATGCACACAGTGCACCCCTGCCCACTCCTGTCATCTGTGCTGTGTCCTACCTGTGGGTGGCTGCCCTCACTGCTGCTTGCACGCCGACAGCCTGCGGATCTTGCTGCTGGCGGAGCAGGCCTTGCGGGTAGGGTTGGAGGCAGTGCTGGCCCGGCGCTCCGCCCTTGATTTGGTGCTCAGCTGGGCCGACTCGGTGCCATTCATGCACACGGCCTTGGGCAGGCCCCGGCTCTGTTCGTTCTGACCGGCCTCCTCCTCTGGGACCTGTCCTAGGAAGAAGAGGGCAATGTGGGCTGATGGGGGCGCAAACCAACACCTCCCAGGCTGCCCCGCTCCCCAGCCATGGCCCCACCCAGGTCCTGCCTACAGGGTCTCTAACCCAGGAAGAGGGAGAGCTGGCCTTAGAGCTCGCTGGCCAGGGCCCAGGCACTTGAAGGCCAGGGACCTGGGGCATGGGGCCCAAGACTCAGCCCTCTCACCTGTTCTGAACCACACCTGGCTGGGCCCTGTGGGACTGGGGTCGGCCAGGTGTGTGAGATGTGCCATCACTCCTCAAATAGCCCGCCGGCTCCTCGTGCCAGGCACAGGATAAAGGGATCAGTGCTGGGGGCCTACTGTGCCCCCACCTCCACCCTCACCAGCATCCTGGGGGCCACAAGCCTGGGGCTGTACGTGTGCACCTGCACTCCTGTGCTCACTGAGGTTGGGGGAGAGGAGAGTGTGCAGGAAGGGCCCCATCTTTCATTGCTCCACCCAGAGCCCACGCAGCTCAGCCATGAGGCCCCCTCCTGTGACATCGGTGGAAAACTTCTCTAAGCTGCCTGTAGCCCCCTCTACCAAAGGCAACAAGGGCCTGACTCGACAGCTTCTAAATCTTGCCATGCCCATCCACGTATGCCAAGGTCAGAGCTCATCCCTGCTCATAGGACCCCGCTGTACACAGCACTTATGGGTCTCTGCATGGACCACCCAGAGCCTGGCCATCAGCAGTGTCTGTGGTGCAGGGACAGCCGACAAGTCCAGGGTCTGCTTCACTCACCCTCAAGGCACTGTGCCAGCAGCTGCTGACCAGTCACACCCAGCCCAAGGCCCAGCTCTCAGGGTGGGTGGCAGGACCCCCACAGTGGAGACAGTCCAGGGAGGCCAAGGCCAAGCAGCCAAGAGCCTCCTAGGGTGACCCCATGACTAGGACCAGAGCAGGAGGGGTCTCAGCCACAGCACAGGCCATAGCTGACTCATGAGCAGGTCAGAGAAAAGTGGCTGGCTGCCCAACCTCGGAACTGGACTGTCCCACTTCTGGTGCGGAGGACATTCCAAAGCTGGGGATCCCCTCCTGGGAAAGGCCACCCCTGGATCTCACATGGCCTAAGGGGTACTTGGGAGGCAGCTCTGGGGGCCTGGCAGGGTCCTCATTCAGCCTTGCTCGGTCAATAAGAAACCTGCTGAGGAGGGCGACACCTAGGTACCTGTCACAGGTCCTAGTGCCTCTGAGAGGCAGGACATCTCACCCCGGTTTTGTGAAGAGAATGGGAGCTCCAGGAGGCCTTGGACCCAGGACTGGACTACAGCCAGGGACCCCAGGGTCAGGGCACCATACACACGTCACCTCCTGGGAATCCAGGCTGACCCTGCGGCCAGGTGCAATGGGCACCACAGACCCCAGGATAGTGGGACACAGCTCCCAAGGGCCCCGCCCACCCTGCAGGCCACTATGGCACACTGGTTCTCTATAATCAAAACCCAGCACCCAGCCAACAAGCTGGGGATGAGACGCAAACACCACTGGCACACATATCTGGCAAACCTTTATGACGGGGTCTGCATAACTGGCCCCCAAAGAGAACAGATGTGGGTGCTGTGGAGGGACACATCCAGGGGCGGGGAAGCTGCCCTGCCTCCCTCAGATTCTGGGGGTCAGTGAAGGCCCACAGGGGTGCAGCTTTGGCCTTTAGGCTAGTGGGCAGGGTGGCTACACTAAGGCCTGGGGCGCCTCCTCAAGTCCCCACATGCCCCCGACCTCAGCTTCCTCTGCAGAAAGGTGTGAGCACTGGCTGTGCCGGGCGCCTCGCTCCTCTCTAAGCCCTGCCTCTGATGCCTCCTCACCACCTGGGGAAGCAAGGTTGCATGTCAGAGTGGGCAGTGGACCATCAGAGGGGTCATTCCCCTCGTTCACCACCCGGCAGGATACAGTTTGCAGTCCGAGGAACGAAGGTGGGGAATAGGTGGCCTCCGCCCTCTGGGTCCCCACTTGCTCCTGCTGGCCTGCTGGGATTGGTGTGTGCCAGTGTGGGTGGACCTGCCCTGAGGGCTTGAGAACATTAAGAACATCAAGGCCAGGCTGCAAGCCACTGCAGCTGCCAGACTCACCGGGCACCGTGAAGTCCTGAGTGTAGATGATGTCGTCCTCAATGTCAAAGAGGTCCTCATCCCCTTCATCATCGGCACAGCCATGCAGGTCCTCCAGGTAGGGCACCACAGTCATGCTGCGCCAACGGTCCTTGCAGTCAGCACTTGGCGGGATGGGCACCAGCTCCTCAGCTGGCAGATGCTTCTTCCTGAACCAGCTGTGGAAGCCGGCACATCAGGATGGCCCGTGACACCCAGCTCCCCACGCAGGCCCTTTGGGGACACTCACCTGTGCTGCCTGATCTGCTGTATGGAAAACCTCTTAGCCGGCTCGTATTCTAGCATTCCTGATGGGGAGACAATGGGAGGGTCAGCATCAGGCCCGAGCCTGGGCCCTGCCTGCGCCTGTCTACCTGTGCTGGGCCTGTAGCCATGTGGACATGGTACTCGCAGCCCCAGGGCACTGTCCTGTCGGGACACAAGGCCGTCCAGGCACCGCGGCCACCTGTGGAAAACTGCAGAACCGCGGGCAGTGTGGCTGGGAGACAAGGCCGGGAAGACTACCTTCCCCAAGGAGACCAAAGTAGGCCAGGCAGGATGCAGCCACATCCCATGGAGTTGGACCTGCTGTCCACATGATCCAGGACAAGGAAGTACATGGCTACCTTCTTCCAGTATCCAGCCAGCAAAGCCAGTGACCCATGGTATCCAGTCAGGAGTCTGTGTCCCGAGACAGAATACCCACACCATGGGTATTCACATGCCCGGAGTCAAGTTCCACAACAAGACACTCACTTGGAAGGGGCAAGACCTGACCGTGGCATACACTTAGGCTGCAGGACGGAGTCGTCCCTCCTAAGTGAGCATGACACACAGGAGGGGACCGGGTATAGCTCTGAGCTCTTATCACCACCCACGAGAGGGTGACCTTGTTCTCAGAAAATTGCACCAATTTTGGGAGCTGAGGTCTGAAAGTCTGAGTGGTATGGTGTATGTGTGTGTGGGGGGTACAATCACAGTGGAGGCCTCACTGCTCTGGGGCTGGGGGGAGGGGGCCCTGCCTGCTTCTGCTTTCCCTGTCCTCAGCTATCCACACCCTGGCACAGGTGCAAGCAACATCCCCTCCCAGCATGCCTGGGGGTTCTGAGACACCAGCGCTCAGAGCCAGTGTGCCTCTAGGACTCACAGAGACATGGCCTATCTACCTCGGCTGACAGGCAGAGCCTCCAGGCCGAGAGCTCTCACACCTAAGAGCCAGCTTGACTTAGCTGCTAGGAAACTAAGGTGTGTTTGGGCGGCTTGGGAACGTGACACGACCTTTCCAGCTGTACACTGTAGGAAGTCTAGGCACTGATCAGGTGTCCAATGCAGACGGAGTATAAGGTCAGTCACAAACCAGAGCCTGACTAAGGGCAGGAAAAGAAACTGAGACGGTATTGCACTGATAAATCCTAAACACCAGTCATACACTGGGCCAACACTGGATGTGTGACACACTAATAAACTGTCTCATCCAGACACTTCAGTCAACCTCAGGACACCAGTGGGACTCACACCTACCTGTCAACACCTGGCCCACAGCACTGTGGCTGGACAGCGCCACCTGCTGCACCATCCAGGAAATACAGCAAGAAGCTCATGACCCAGCAAGTGGGCTGGGGTCCTCCCTGCTATTTGGGGGGTGGGGGTGGGGGTGGGGGGGTGATCAGAACAGGGGAAACTATAGCAGGTGGTGGAGCACAAGGCTCAGCCTCGAGGTGTCAGCCCTCCCTGGCCCCAGCCACTTTCCACACCCAGTGGGAATTCCGCCCCCACCAGCAGTGGGATGTATGGGCAGCAAAGGCAGGGTGGAGGCCTGCAAAGAGAACCCCCACCACCCACTGGCAGCCCACCCTTGACACACACCCACGTCCTGCCCCTCCCCAGGGCCCATGGTCAGTCACCGTCCTGAGGTCCTCACCTCTAAGCAGGTCCGAGAGCGGGGGGCCACAGTCGCCTGGGATCGTGTAGTCCCCCTTCCCAATGTTCTCGAATAACTTGTAGATGTTGTCCCCCTCGAATGGGTACAGGCCTGTCGTGATGTTGTAGCTTCGCCCCGAGGGGAAGGCAGAGGCCCAGTCAGTCAGGGCTCATCCTATGGCCCTGGCCCAGAATCAGCCTGGCACAGAAGCCTCAAACCACCCTCACCTACAGGGCCTCATTTTGGGGGGAATGTTCTGGAATAAAGGGTGGTGGCTGCACCACTGAAAATACTAGAAACCACTGGTATTTTACACTTTAAAAGGGTGGGTCACATGCTATGTGAATGTGAATGCCCACAATGGCGGCTGCCCTGGTATAAGGATGGACGGAAAGTTCTGGATCTGGGGACTGTGCCCGCAAGTCTGCAGCATAAGTGCCAACCTCAAGAATGAACAGGGTTCCAGAGAACTCTGAAGCCCACTCAGTGCTGCTCATGTGGCAGTGCTCAGGGATGCACCCTAATAGCCAGACAGACCAACTTAGGACACAGCAGGATGGGGTGGGGGGAACATGGCGGTTGGCCGAACAACGATTTCAACTTGCACGTCTGAGAATTCTCAGTATAAATCATCCAGACAGAACTCGCCCACAAGATGAGTGTGGCCAGGTGTCAGTCAGTGGGAATGAAGAAAAGTAGGACCCTAGACAACTGAGAGGGCAGCAGCCCTCAATTCCACCCACAGGGGCTGCTAACTGGCTCCACAGCTGCCCCATGCTCTAGCCACCCAACAGTAGTCAGGTGTCTGGGGTACCCGCCAGGAGGGGCAGGTTCTGGAAGCCTGGAGCCTGAGCAGGGTGGGCAAAAGAGGGGCCCTGGGGTGGGGTGAGAGGACCAGGGCCCACAGGCACTTACAGCGTGACTCCAGCCGACCAGATGTCCACCTTAAAGCCAGAGAAGGTGTCCAAGCCATTGGCAATCTCTGGCGGCTGGAATGCAGGGGAGCCCTGGCTCGTACGGCACGTGTCATCCTCAGCAAATGGGTGCAGGGCCTGTCACAGAGTGGGAAGTGGGGGGCAGCTCAGGAACGGTCCTCAGGGAGCGCCAGCCCCACCTGGCCCAGGCAGTGCCCTACCTCGGCCACACCCAGGTCGGAGATCTTGAGCGTGCCGCCGGTGGTGAGCAGTAGGTTGCCAGGCTTGATGTCCTTATGCACGATGCCCTGGCTGTGCAGATACTCCAGGCCGTCCACCAGCTGGCAGAAGTACCTGAGGGGACAGTGGCCACCTGGGGTCACCAAGCAGGACCAAAGACAGGAGGCCGCAGCTTGGGAGCCATTGGGGCCAGGCAAACAGAAGTGACAGGACATAAGGCCAGTCAGGGAACCAGGGGCCATGGGCAAGGTTAAGCTGCTTCTGGCCCCCTGGCCCCCTACCTGCCTCTCCTGACCGAGCAGCACTTCATTATGCTCCCCATCAGCTGAAGGGCCATGTGACACTCTCCCCTGCTGCTGCCCCCCACACACACACACACACGGCTTGGACACATCCATGTAGCCACCCTGGAGCCCTTCCTGGAACCAGGAACCCAGGCTTACACCACCCCACCGGCATCCCCTACACTCACACCATAGGCCAGCTGGTCCTGCAGCAATGGGGTGGCCAGAGGGAAGAGGACTCCCCAGGGGGTCCAGCCAGCCAGCAGTGGCAGCACGGGCCACTGTTAGGGACTTCCCAAGGACCAGGGGATCCCAAAGCCTCAGAAGCAGGCATATCGGAGCAGGGAGGTGCGCAGAGAGTGGGGTACCACCCAGGGGTACCACAAACCAGTCCGCCCAAGCTCTGAATAGGACTTAAAGCACACTTGAGCCTTATTTAGCTGATAATCAGAAAAAGCTGCTGGAACACGGGGCTGAATCCTCGAAGCCCGTGGGGGTCTGTGGGTGGCCTGGCAGGACAGAAGGCCGCACTCACCCGTGAGCCTGACACACAGGGAAGCGCTTCTCGGGCACACTGTCCAGCATCTCCTGCATGCCACACACGCAGTACTCCATCACCATATACGTGCGGTGCTAAGGAAACCACAGCTCGGCCAAGAGCCCCACCCCAAGCAGTGCCTGACCCTGGGGAACAGATGGACAGCTGGTGGAAACAGCTGGGAAGAAGACCCTGGAAGGTGGTGGCGGTGGGAGACCAGGGGAAGCCAAGCCAGGAGAGCCAAAGTGGCTGTGTGTCTCAGGCCAGTGGGAGAGGGGCTGCAGGGGAGAGGCTGCAGGGCTGGTACGGGCAGCTGCATGTCCACCAGGGGCAGCCTTGAGACATGCACAGAAAGAAACTGCGTGCTGGGAACCCCATCACTGAGCCAGTGAGCATCTTTGTGGAAGGACACGGGCCTCTCAGAGGGACCTGGGGCCCCCATGTACCTGCTTCTGGGAGCTGGAGCCGGCCAGGGCCACATGTCCTAGAGAGAGCTGTCCCCCTCAATAAAGGGCAAAGGCCAAGGACACGCCAGTGTTTCTGCAGAGTGACACACCTCCCACCCCTGCAGGCGAGACCCAAATGCCAGAAGCAGGGAAGTGCTTGCCATGGGGCACCCCCAAACATGGGGTCTCCCAGACTGAGGCCGGAAAGCATCTTCTCTCCAGACCCAGGACTCCCACTTGGGCTGTGGAGTGACAGGGGACCCTAGCTAGCTTCAGAATAACTGGGAAAACAGACATACGAGTGTCATGGCCCGTGTCCCCCCACCCCGGCCCCAAAGGATATATCTTCTGTTTCTCCTCATTGTACAGCACATCCACCAGCTGGATGACGTTTTTGTGCCGCAGCCTCCGCAGTAGCTGAATTTCCCTGGAGAGAGGACAGTGTCAGCCGAGCCCTCTGCATGGTGGCACATGGAGCTCGCACTCAGACGCCATGCAGAGGACACGCCAGTTCTGAGGCGCCAAGAGAACCAGGAGGCACTGGCACTGCCTCTCCGCCGTGCCAGTCTGCACACGGACAGCTGAATGGGCCTGGACAGGGACCTGCAATTAGGACATGTTATGCACTTCAACTGAAGACGCACAATTTGTTTCTCAAGAGACCACACACAGGGGCAGCAGAGTGAGGGTGGCATAAGCGCCTACTATGTGCGGAGCTGGGTTCACAGCACGGCCCCAGAGATGGGGCTGTCACAGGGCAAAGCCGGGCCTCCCCAGAAGGGGCCTGGAGACCTCAGCTGCTCCAGGAATGGGCATGGGGAGAAGGCGGCCCCATCAGCCCTGCCAGAATGGACACCAGGGCCGCCCTGCCCACCTAGCACCGACCACGTCTGCCAGCCTGTGACAAGGGCACAGCGCTACCCACTCTGCAGACGGCCTTCCACATGTTACCTCTCCAAGAGTTTGAGCAGGAGAGGGGTCTGCACAGCTGGGAGGGGAGGGAGAGGAGTGGTTGGCAGCTCCTCAGAAGGCTAAGCAGTTACTAGCGAACCCAGCAATTCCGTTCCAGGGGTACGCCCAGGAGAACTGAAGCCATGTTCCCACAGAAACCTGCTCAAACATGCTCTCGGCAGCACCATGCAGAAGCCCCTGGGTAGAAGCCACCCACCAAGGACACGGGCCCCTTGGGCGCAGAGGTAGCAGGATTGGGGAGCAATTGGTAGAGATGACTGTCCAAGTCCAGAAGCACCTTCCTAAACACAGCACAGACTACCCACAAGGCCACGTGGCTGCAGCAAGAGTGGGCACTTCAGGTCGTTACTGGTAAGAGGGTGAGACCCATGGTTCTACATTCCATGTATAGGGATAACCTAGGCCCAGACCCATCCCCCAGGCCATGCCCTCCCTCTGCCCACGGTCACCGTGGGGACAAATTCCGACGCAAAGTAGATGATGACAGCCTGTCCTCAGCAGTGAGACAAACCAGCCCCATGAGCTTAACAAGGATGATGCACTGGGAGGGTGGTATTCATTTATCTAGTAACTGGATCAGAGCATTCTGTGTAAACACATGCGTCCCAGCACTTATACAAGGAAAGAGCAGATACACTATCAACCTCTCGGAGACGTATAGCAAAAACCATGTGTCGCTGCTCACAGCAGGATCCTGTGTGCAGACAACGCAGGCCAGACGTGCGATCGATCAACACCACCTGAGCCAAGAGAGAGCGTAAGAGACGGCCACCAAAACTGTTGCTGCAGTAGCCCCAGAGGGCACAGAAGGGCTTCTATCACCGTGCCTCTCTGGCCAGAAAATGAGAACAATGTTTAAAGAGAAAGCAAAAGCCAAGCGCCCAGCCAGGATACAGGAAGCACAGGAGAAAGCGGGGCCTTCCAGATCAGGGAGGCTGCTTCTGCTTCTTGGGACCTGCCCACAGGCACTGCCCAAGTTCAGTGCCTCGATGTTCAGTCCAAGAGGAACTGAAGAGCCAGATCATAAGGCCATTCACGCCCGCAGAGGCATGGAAAGTGGCCACCTCGATGGTCAGCCAGAAACACCTGGGGACGGCTAGAAGACATAGGGCAGGCCACAGTCACTGCCAGGGAAACACCCCACCCTGCTTCCTTCTCGATGGGCAGGGAGGGACGATGGCAGAGGGACACTGAGCAAGATCCCTTCACCCCTTGCTTGGCCCCTCTGCTAAGGCTTCTAAACACACAGCAAGGGGTCCTCAGAGCGGGGAGGGCGACTAAAGCGGGGAAATGCAATAAAAATGAAGTTAAACACAAACACTTGCACACAAACGTTTGCAGCACCAGGAGTCCTAATTGGCAACAAGTGGGAACATCCCAAACAACCCTTTGACAGGTGACAAACACATGGCCCACCCACACACGGGAGTATTACTCAACTGTGAAAAAGGATGAGGCACTGACACTCGCCATAATGTGGACAGACCTTGAAAACGGTGCTCACGAGAGAAGCCAGACACACAAGGCCACATAGTGTGTGATTCCATTTATGTAATGTCCAGAACAGGCACATCCACAGACAGGAAGTGAGTTCATGGTTGCCAGGGGCTGGGGGAGGTTGTGGGGAGTGACTGCTTATGGGGACAGGTTTTCTTTTGGGTGATGGAATGTTCTGGAGTTGGGTAGTGGTGAGGGTTTCACAATCTGTGAAAGTACTAAATGCCACTGAATTACACGTTAATAGGGTGAATTTTATATTACGTAAATCATATCTAGGGTGAATTTTGTATTACATAAATTATATCTCAGTAAAGCTGTTAAACTACAATTCAGCCACAGGGTGGATGTGGGGTAAAGGGAAGCTTCAGCTGTGACCCGACACTCACAGGTGAGGAGCCACATGGCACACGCACCCTGGCCCAGCACCCCGCGCTCCCACCACGTTGCAGACTCCCTCCTCTGCCAGGGAAGGACCTGGCAAACAGGGAGGCCTCCAGGACACTCAGTGAGGGTGAGCTATCTTGCTGTCACCTCTGGCAGCCGGCCAGTCTGGCCTCACAGCAGAATCCTACCCAATACTGAGGAGGGCAGGCGCCCCAGCAGGTGCCAATGGGAATAAGAGCCGACAAAGTCCAGGGCTCTGGTTCTTGACGTGCTAAAATCCCAACCACTCACCATCCAGATCCAAATACCCGCCAATCAGCGCAAGGCAGTGCGGGCCTTGCCTGATCCAGCCTGGACATGGTGTGTCCATTCGCAGAGCCACCATCCCTCGCCAAGGACCTGACCACACAGAGGGCAGACCAGCCAAGGAGAAGGGACAGCCCAGGTGGCCACGCACGTCACATTATGTCATTTCCCAAACATGGACGGAGGACACTCAGCAGAAACCATACTTAATAGAGAAGAGGTAATGACTTGACACTGAGATGCCATGGACGCTGGGCTAGACAGGCTGGGGGACCAGCAGTCTGGAGAAGCTTATCAAATACACGCACGCTCCCTCTGACCCAAAAACTCCACTTCTGGCGACTTACCCTTCAAATACCCTCAAGCTTGTCACTCAACACAGCACAAAGTAACCCACTGACACAGCAAACATGTCTATGGCACAGGGTGGGGTCACACCAGCTGTGGGGCAGAAAGGTGGACCGGCTCGGGCTGCAGGGTAGGCCCTGAGCAGAGTGAAACTGTTTCAGGTTTCTAAACAGTTAATGAAAAAGAGAAAAAAAAACCACAAAGACCACTATTTGGTGACAAGTCAAGATTTTATGAATCGAGCTGTAGCATTTGTGCAGCTGTCCTGGGGGCTTTCCTGCAGCCTGCAGGGCTGGACCCACTCACTGCCTGCCCCCCAGAGTGAGCCTACCAGGATTAAACCAGCAGGAAAGCCTGCTGCCCCCAGATAAGAGGGAGCAGGGGGTGAGTCTAAGGACGCCTTTTACGATCTTGATCTGTGCAGCTCTAATGCCTATTGGAAAAAGAAGGAAATACAACTTATTTTTATAAAGTGGTCCTTAGGGGAGTTTTACTTTTCGTTAATAAGTCCTTAGAGGGGGTGACCGGTTAACTCACTTAGTGTTAGAGCGTGGTGCTGATAACACCAAGGTTGAGGGTTTGATCCTCGCATGGGCTACTGTGAGCGGTGCCCTCTAAAAGAATCAACTATGGGGCCAGCGGAGTGGCGTGTTGGTTAAGAGTTGGCTTGGGACGCCAGCTCTGAGTAGCAGGGCCCCGGTTCCGATCCCACATTAGGGCCAGTGACGCTGCGCCCGCTACAGCTAAGATAGTGAACAACAGCTCGACCTAGAGCTGGGCTGCAGTGCGCCACAGGTCTATTCAACCTCTGGCAAACAAAGGAGCCTTCTTCCCCTGCAGCCGGAACACCCCTTCCCCTTGGCACCACAGTCCCACATGCAGGAGGCAGGCCCACTGCATCTCCAAGTGGAAACTTGGGACAAAGGAGCAGGGGATCAAGGAAGAAGATCCCAGCTACAACCAAGTGCAGGCTGCAGTGGAACTGCAGTGGGCTGCCATAAGTTACCGATAGTAGCTGATAGCCGGCGTGAGCGGCCAAGAGCTGCCGTGAGCGGCCGTCCAGTGGCCGGCAACCGATCTGCCTCACCCAGGAAGAGCGCAATAATACCAATATGGGCCAGTGAAACAACATCCTCCATAACTAGATTGAAGAACAAAAGGACAGCAACTTGTTTGTTCTCCTTCCTAGATTCCCCAATGCTGTTCCCCTCCCCCAATTCCCCAATAAAATCTTAAAAAAAAAAAGATAGCCTTTCAACAAATGGTGCTAAAAAAACTGAATATCCACATGCAAAAAAAAAAAAGAATCAACTATGCGAGGGGTCGGCAAACTTGCGAGCCATATGTGGCTCTTTGGGTATGTACTATGGCTCTGAAGTAAAATTGAAAATGAAAATAAAACTATCACAGTTTCATTTATAAAATTTTTAAAGGATATTATTCACATAATGGAGATTTCATTTGTTTTATGGCTCTCGAATAATTTTTAAATTCTTGTGAGGGGCAGAATTGGCTCTTTTGTCTCAAAAGTTTGCAGACCCCTGAACTATGCCATTGTAGTATGAAAACAATGTGTATCCAACGACCATGGCTGTTCCCCAATACAAAAAAAAAAAGTCCTTGGACAGGGTAAAAAAAACACAAATAAAAAAGATGTGTTAATATTAAAATTATGAGGATTTTTTTTTAAACTTCCAAATCCTTTTTGGAAGAACAAGCAAGAAGGGACAGATGCCTTTTTGGAGGAAGCCCCATGAAGGGAGGGGCATTCCAACCTGGCCAACCACCTCAGCAAGTGTTATTTCAGAAAAAGCTCTGACCCAAACTGGAGGCCAACTGAGGCTTGTCTAGAAGGTTCCAGACATTCCACTATGAAAGATAACTGGAGTGGCGTCTATTCAACCTCTGGCAAACAAAGGAGCCTTCTTCCCCTGCAGCCGGAACACCCCTTCCCCTTGGCACCACAGTCCCACATGCAGGAGGCAGGCCCACTGCATCTCCAAGTGGAGACTTGGGACAAAGGAGCAGGGGATCAAGGAAGAAGATCCCAGCTACAACCAAGTGGACAGGACAGTTCGGGGCCAGCCCTGCACTGATGAAACTGGGTGCCAGCACAGTGCACTGTGGCTGACACCTTATGCTAACCGTCTGGTTGGCTGCGGACCACAAACCACTGGCCTCCCTGGCCTTAGTTTCCCCTCCAGTTCTTCCCATGAACACTGAGGGACCCAGCTTCACGCAGCCCTTACACAACACACCCACACGTCTCCTGAGGGCTCTTGGGACCTCGGCTGACCCTTGAGGAAGCCAGAGGCTGGACGCCAGCACTCTTGCCCTCCAGCCGGGTTCTGGTCATGTGTGTCTCCAATAGAGCATGAGGGAAGTTCTTGAGTGGTGCAACGCCCTCTAACTTGACCTTGGCATGTGCAAACTGCCTGTGAACGGGTACCTTTATCACAGGAATGTTACATCTTAACAAAGGGGGGTCCTCGCCCACCCCAACATTGCCCTCATGGCAGCGGGGGCCTGCGGACCTTCTGGGACCTCCTCAACCCTGCTGTCACCAGTCAGTTCCCTGGTCGGGTCTACACCCTAAGGACCCCCTGCAATGGCCAGCAGGGTGGGCTTGGGTGACTAATTAGACAGATCAATTGGTGCTGGAATCCCTCCTACCTCGGGGTGCTGCTCCTGAGGGGCTGGGGCCTGGGGTGCACGGCATCAGTGGTCTGCACCAGAACATGTCGATGGACCAGTGTCCATTCCAAGAAAGATGGGGGATGAGACCTAAGATGAGCCAGGAGGACAAGGACTGCCCTAGAGAGTGTGTGTGTGGGGGGGTATCCATTTCCAGAGGGAGGGCAGCATTCTGGATGTAGGCGCTCACTGCCCTCAACCCACAGTTGCGGCAACCTGGCAGCTCAAGGGCCACATTGTCCCCATGTGCTTCTGGCTTAACGAGAAAACCTGACTCAGAGGCCAGCAGTCCAGTGGGGGTTTCTAACTTGGAAGTGAGGCTCAGTTGGCTGTTAGGAGGGCTCTGTCTTTCAAGGCCTCAATCTCCCCCAGGACGCTGCCCACCCCCTACCTCACAGATAACAAACTGGTGCAGAGCGAGAGAAGTGGCCAATTGGTCCTAAGGCGCAGGCCACACCTCCCAGTGTCCACAGGCTGGGCTATAAAAAGGCCTCACCAAATTAGGGGCCCACCTTGCCCACTGCCCAGCCCACCTGCCGGCTGCTCTGACTACAGACAATGACCAGAAACCAGGTCAGTTTGGCCCCAGTTCTCTGCTCCATCCCCCATTTCATCTCCCCCAAGATGTCCCAGAGCAAGTTAAAACAGCTCCACTTGCCTGGGTTGGCCTACAGGGTGAGAAGGAGGTGGGTGAAAGCAGAGCCGGTGAGCAGCACTTACAGGACGGGCCTGGCAGATGTGGGAACCATCCAAGGTCACAGTCAGTTCTGCTGCCTGGCCCGTTAAATAAACCCCTTCTGTGAATTTGGAGGCTGGGGGGAGTCTGGGTGTGGGCAGGGTGGGGTCCCCCCATCCCGCCGCGATAAGCAACGGTGCCCCTGTCCTGAGAACAGCAAGAGGAAGGAGGCAGGGACCCCCACTTCTCTTGAGGGATTCTTATGCGCACATCCTGGGACGTCCGGGATGCCTAGGAGCAGATGGTTCATGAAGAAAATTGTGTAAAAAGTTCACCAGGACACAAGCAATTCCCCTCTGGGAGTCAACGGACCTAGAGTCAGGAACGTCTACTGTCATATCCCAGGCTGACGGAATGAGCTATGTACCCCCTGCTGACTGATAAGCTGGTGCAAACAATTATTTTTGGCAACCACAGGGTTCCCCTCCAACAGGATAAACAAATCGCATTTTGCCTGGCGCCAGTACCGGCTGCTCGCTGCGCGGAAAACCTACTGGCTGCCAGGGCCATTTCCGTGCAAAAACTCAGAGCCAAACAAGCACTGGCTGGTTCCACTGGACACCTAAGTGCTTTGGCAAGCTGGAAGGTTGAGGGGGGTGAGGGGCGCACTCCTGTTGAGGAGGGCTTTGACACTGGCGCCCAAGAGGCCCAAAGTACTAAAGCCCACCTGCAACAAGCTAGCTGACTTTGTGAAACTACTTAAGCAAGTTTCCGACGACACCTTCCCGGGCAAGGAGAACACAAGAGCCGGCTGGCCAGCTCAGGTTTTTAAGGAAAAAGGAATGGAGAAGGGAGGAAAAGAGGGAAGGAAGGAAGAAGGATAGAAAGAAGGAGGGAGAAGTAGGATAACCCTGGCTGTCCAACCCAGGAAACCAACACTTACTTCTTCACGTTAGCCTCCCCATTGGGGATCCTCCGCAACTTCTTCTTCTTGAGGATTTTGACTGCTCTCCTACACAGCGTCTCTGAGTCCAGCACCTCCTTCACTTTGCCATAGGACCCCTCTCCCAGCAGGTCCCCCATCAGGTACTTGCCAATGAGCTTGGCCCGCTTGCGACGGGGCTGATAGATGACCTCGGTGGAGTCTATGCGGTGGATGAACGTGTCCATCCCCACCGACATCAGCTCGCCCTCTGTAAACATGCCCAGCTGCTGCGGGTCCGCCACATCCATCGTGGACCCAAGGCCTCCGACTCCCACTGCCGGCTGTCCTTTATCACCTTTACGGATTCCCCGCGAGCGGTTCTTCTTTTTGTACCCCGCCCTCTCCCCTCCAAAAAAATTCCCTTCGCTAAAAAGAAAGTCAACAAAAACGCAAAAGAAAAAAAAAAGAGAAGAAAAAAACCCTTCTTCAAAAAGAAACGATTGTACTAAACGTAAGTTCAAGAGGCGTGTCTGGTCTGGGCCCCAGGCAGCCGACGGTAAGGAGCGTCACAAGTTTGGGTGCCACCCGGCCTGGCAGCTCCGGGTCGGGCCGGCGCGTCCACGGGGGCCCTGGAGAGGCCGGTGGGGCTGCGAAGTGCTAGGTCATCCTCCAGGAACTTTAGACCCTCGGACAAACACGGACGCGGCCGAGCAAAGTCTTCTCCGAGCCGTCCATTACCGGTGGGGCCACGGTGCGCGCCCGGAGCCCCGCGGCAGCCGGCCGGCCCCGGGGCCCCCAAAGTTGGGCAGACGAGCTCGCTGGGGATCTGGACGTCTACCGGCGGCCCGGTCGTCCTGGACGTCCCGAGAAGCGGCAGGAGCCGTATAGGCTCGGACCGCTACCGCTAGCCCCGGGTGCGCGTTCGGTGGTCTGGCGGCCGCCCGGGGCCCTCCCGGTACAGCAAGCAACTTCCGTCGGAACCGGCCTGGGACCCCCAAGCGGCCGCGCGGGCCCGGCGAGCACTCCCCGCCCCAAACGGCAGCTCGCGCTCGTTCTCCGCCCCGAACGCAGTCGGCAGCGGCCCTCGGGGCGCGGGACCACACAGGGCTCCGGGCGGCCGAGGAGGCGCAGGCCGTAGGCCCCGGGCCGGGGGTTCCCGAGGCCGCCGGGGCCCAGACGGCGCGTCCCCCGCCGCGGCCGCCGCGCGTGTGGAGCAGGCGGGGCGGCGTGGGGGCCCAGCCCATGCAAGGCGGCTGCGGTGCCGCCTGGCCCCGCCGCCGCTGCCGGCCCCGCCGCCCGCGCCCCCGCCTCACTCGCGAACGCCCCGGGCCGCCCCCCCGTCCCGCGCCCAACACGCCACCGCCATCTTGTTTACCTCCCGCCCCCGCCCTGAGCTGCCGCGCCGCCGCACGCTACCGCGGTCCCACCTCTCGCGGTGCCGACGTGCCCACCCGTTGGCCGAGTGGACAGGCCCCGCCCCCACGGGCCGTCCCACCGCCGCCATCGATTGGTCCGTTTGGACCAAGGCGGGCGCTCCTGCTCGGCCCCGCCGCAGGGGTGGATACGGTTCGTCCATTAGCCCGCGGAGACGCCCGTCATGGGACGGGGCGGGAAACGGGCGTCGGGAGGTGGGTCTGTGGCGTTGACCTCGGAGGGGTTTGGGGCTGGGGTCGGAGGTCGCGAGCGTCAACGGCCTCCTCAGAAGAGCTGTGAGCATGGGCGCAGTCCTCGGTGGACCCAGCCGGGCGCTTGCTCGGGCTCCCTCTCCCTGGACCCACCTTGAGGCGAGGTCAAGGGTCAAAAAGTGGCGAATTCAAGGCGAAAAGCCTTGAGCATCTGGGAGGCAGGAGTGGAAGAGAGGTGCGTGTGACAGTCTCTGCCCTAGAGGAACTCGGGTGAAAACACAGAACAGAACTGGGATTGTCCCAGCAAAGTGCTGTGGGTGAAAAACAAAAAAGTTCATAGAATACAGCTTGATGAAATTGAAAATATCTCCCTTGTACCAGGCCCGTATTTTCTACCTTTTCTGCTTTTTAGCAATAGATTTTTTTGCCAGAACAAACTGTCTTGTGTGAAGTTCCTGATTCACAGCAGTCAAAAAGTGAAAAACATTGGAAGCGGACACATCGGATTTGAGTTCCAGGCAGGGGGTTCTGAGTCCATGAGCTGTGAACTCCCTAAAACTTGAGTTGTCCCATGTACATGTTGTTGGGGACGGGTCAATCCTTGAGTTTCATCAGACTCTGGAATGACGCATATAAGGGGGACTGGTGTGGCTTTGGAATAGTAGAGGCACAAGCTGCACCAACTTATCAGCAAGCCCTAATCAAAACACGTGGATCAGCCCAAAACTCCTTTAGAGAAGGAAATCAAAGATAATAACAGAAACCAAGGAACTAGAAAAAGAACAGGGAAAATCAATGAAACCAAAAATTGTTCTTTGAGAAGATCCAAAAAATTTTACAAAACTCTAGCTAGGTTGGCCAAACAAAAAAGATGATGACTAATGCCAGGAATGATGCCACAGACCCTGCAGATATTAAAAGGATTAAATACTAGGGACGACTCTACACCCATAAATTCAACATCCTACTTGAAATCGACCAACACCTTGAAAGACACTAAAATGAAAACTCAAGAAGAATAAATTACCTGCATAGTGTTATATCTATCGAAGAAATTAAATCTGTAGTGAAAAACCTCTCAACAAAGACAACCCTCAATAAAGGGTCTCCCAGCCAACAATGAGTCCTACCCTTAATAGAAACTGAACTGAACTCGCTCTCCCCGGAAGCACAAGAGTCTGCCTTATATAGTGAGAAGTTCCCACCCCTGATCATCGATTGGTCCATTTCTATGCAAATTAAAACTTCAAATCCTCACCGGTTGATCCAAATAGCACCATTCTGATTGGTCAGTTAAGATGCAAAAAGAGATATAACTGTGCAGCTCTGGTTAGACAAGAAAAATCTGAGTCCTAATGGTTGTATTTCCACCCTAGAAGCTCTCTAAGGGTTGACTCAGGCAACAGGAGCACAGTGCAGGAGACTGGCAGCCCAGTCTGTGGAATTTCTCCAGCATGCAAACATGCAGCTTGGGTGAGAGGCCCCTGTAAACAATGGCTGCTTGACTGGTTATGAATCTGGCCCAAGTTAACCACAAGGTGTCCTTCTTGGCAGGTATTCTTCTTGGAGTCAACACAAATAAGGCTCAGATGGTTTCACTGGGGAATTTCCACCAAACATTTCAGGAAGAAGTAACATCAGTTCTAAACAATTTCTCCGAGAAGACAGTAAATGAGGGAACCCTGCCCAACCCAAATTCCTTTTGGTAGTTGGTTTTTTGGTGTTTTTTTTTTTTTATTGCTGGCTTATGCCCAAACTTCTTGGCAGCTGGGCGCCCCACTCTCCTTCACAGAGCCCACACTCCTCTCCTGATATGTAGAACATATGGAAGGGACTTGGGAAATATCAGGTGGCTTGCAGAAAGTCCTTGAAGGTGAAATCTCTGCTCAGATGTCACTTCTTCCAAGAAGCAAACCTGGTCATCCCCTTGAACATAGTCCCTTTCCAGGTTGATTTTCTTCTTAATCATTGTCACCATCATAAGTTGTGTCATATATATATATAAAATATATATATATATAATTTTTTGTTTTTAGATTTTATTGGGGAATTGGGGAAGGGGAACAGACAAGTTGCTGTCCTTTTGTTCTTCAGTCTAGTTGTGGAGGTCGTTGCTTTACTGGCCCATCTTGGCACCATCATTGTGCTCTTCCCGGGTGAGGCAGATTGGTCACCGGCCTCTGGACGGCCACTCACAGCGGCTCTTGGCAGCTCACACCAGCTGCCGGCCGCTCACGCTGGCTGCCAGCCACACACGGTAGCTTATGGCACCCCACAGCAGCAGGGGCTGCAGCCTACGCCGTAGCCGATGACTCATGGCAGCCCAGCTCCAGGTTGAGCTATTGTTCACCATCTTAGCTGTAGAGGGCAGTGTCACTGCCCCTCATGTGGGATCCAAACCTGGGCTCTGCTGCTCAGAGCTGGTGTCCCAAGCCAGCTCTTAATCAATGCGCCACACAGCCAGCCCTATATATATATATATATATATTTTTTTTACCCATTTTTCTTCTGTCTCTGGCACTAGACTGGGAGTTCTCTGGGGCTGGGGCTGGGGCTGGGTCTTAATCACTGCTGTACCCTCATCAATGAGAGTTGTGCTGTCCAGTACCGCAGCCACTAGCCACATGTGTTTATTCAGCTCTTGTAATGTGGCTGCCGAAACTGAGATGTGCTATAAACTATACACTGTGTTTCAAAGGCTTATCTTAAATATATATATATATATATATACATATATATAGATATAGATATATCAATATATCATTAATGACTATGAGAAAACACAGTAACTTACACTGATTTCATGTTGAAATGACATAATTTAGATATATTAGATTAAAAGAAATGTTATTTAACTTCATACCCACTAGGATAGCTATGATCAAAAATAAAATAAAAAATGAAATAAAATGGAGGGGTGACCAGTTAACTCAGTTGGTTAAAGCGTGATGCTGCTAACACCAAGGTTGCCAGTTCGATCCCTGCATGGGCCACTGTAAGCTGCGCCCTCCTTAAAATAGTCTACTATGCCATTGTAGCATGAAAGCAATGTGTAACCAATGACCATGGCTGTTCCCCAATAAAATAAAATAAAAATAGACAATAACAAGTATTGACAAGAATGTGGAGACACCAGAACCTGTGTAGAAAAGATGCGGCTATGTTGTTAAACAGTCAAAAAGTTAAACACAGTGTCTCCATATGGCCCAGCAATTTCACATCCACACAAAAACTTGTCTGCAGAGACTCACAGAAGCAGGATTCACAGCAGCCAAAAAGTAAAAACAATGTGCGTGTCCATTCACAGGTGATGGACACACACAGTGTGGCCCACACACTGGAGTGTCACTTGTCCATGAAAAAGAGTGAGGCACCGGGACTTGCCACAATGTGGATGCACCCTGAACATGCAGAGCTCAGTGTGATTCCATTTATGTGAAACATCCACAACAAGCACATCCAGAGACCATAAGTGGGTTAGTGGTTGCCAAGAGCTGGGAGAGAGGGTCGAGAGTGACTGCTGATGGGGACAGGCTGCTTTTTGGGGTGATGTAATGTTCTAAAGTCCCCCTTCCTGTGCTCCCACCATAGGTGAGCAGACTGAGACATGCAGAGGGGAAACCACCTGCCCACATCCTTGGTGACACAGGTACTCATACCTGAGTGCCCAGCCTAGGAGCCCCCAAGAGCCCTGTAAGGATTCCAGCACCATCTGCTCAAGGTGATGCGGGCTTTGGGGCTGCCCAGATGTCTGTCCTGCCAACGTAGGGTTCGTAGCAAGCATCACACCCAGGCCATGCCAGCTTGAACCAGATTTGGAGAGCCCTTCCCAGCATCATGGGGCCTGAGATCCCCGTGAGGGCTGTTCTCAGCCTCTCCAGGGACTCTCACTGGCCCCAGCCCTCTTCCCAGAGTAAATCCTCAGTTGGGGGGTCTTGGCTTCACTTTGCTATTTCTCGGAAAAGGGGATTAACAATACCATATGTCATCAACTATGAGGTCATTGGTAGTAAGGTCTACTATTACTTCATGAACCACCATGAAAAGCAAAGACTAAGCAGCCAGCAACAACATTGGGTTGAAAGAACCTGGTCTCTGGGAAGGCAAACTGTGACAAATGGGAATAATCACAGGGATAGATAGCAGTTATGAATATTTGTGATAGCCCTGGGAAAAATCCTTTCTTGCATTCTCTTGTCACCAACCTGCAGGTTTTGTTAAGGATCCCGGGTCACAGGTTGTAGCCCCAGCTTATAGGTGGAAGGCCCCAGGTTACAGGTGGGTGGCTTCAGATTATAAATGGAGAACTCCACAGCCAACCAGCCCCTAGATCCACTTGCCCCATTGCTGACCCTCTTGACTCCCACAGCTCTGGTGCCAAGACCCCTTCACCCCTTCCCCACTGAGGACAGAGGAAGCCAACAGTTCTCCTGTCCAGTCTCCTGGCTGGCTGCCTCCATACTGGATCTCCTCCTACTCAGTGGGTCTCTTAAAAGTCTACTTCCTGACCCGAGGCCCAGCTCACCATGGGCCCAGGCCTTGCTCCCAGGAGTGGGGTCGCAGGAACCAGAGGGGGTCCTTCCAAAATGAGGTCAGCCCCCTCCAGAATCCAACCCTGGCTGCATGTTAGGGTGCAGTGAGGGAGGGGCCAGGTCTGTGGCCGCCAGGGGGCAAGCAAGGGATGGTGTCCCAGGCACCCTGGGTATACTCACGTGTTATGTGTGGGATGCTTGCCCCAGGGTTTAAAACCCACTCAGGGAAGTGACACCCAGACTGTCATCCCTTGTTAGACCTTGTCACAGGTAAGGCAGGGATGCCAACTCCCATACTGATGGTCATCCACCATTCATTCTAGACCAGGTCTTCCCCTCAGCACTGTGGACATCCAACTAGGTCATTGTCTGTGAAGGTCCTGAGACCTGTTGGGTGCCGAGCAGAATCCCTGGCTCCTTGGTGCCAGAAGCACACCAGTTATGACAACCATAGATATCCTAGACATCATGTCAATCCCCTGAAGGATCACCTGATCACCTGTGGCTGGAAACCATTGGTTTACATACACACGAGATTTATGGATGAATGACATTTAGGGTATTATGTTTGGAATTAAAGTGTCCTGACATGGCCAGTAGGGTTTTTAAGTAAAAGTTGAATGAGGGCCCCCAAAAGATGTTGTCCAAATACCCAGAACCTGTGAATGTGACCTCACTTGGAAATAGCTCACTTGGAAATAGGAACTTTGTAGTTGTCAAGGATCTTGAGATCATGGATTACTTAGGTGAGCTCTAAAACACACACACACGTCTGGCCGAGTGGTGCGTTGGTTAAGAGCTGGCTTGGGACG